TGGGAGGGCTGTGGGGGCTGAACTGAAATCCTCCCAGGGAGTTCTCTCAGGGCTGCAGGCCCCTGATCTGCCTGCCAAATGAGAGGAGGTGGGTCCTGTCATTGGCCCCAGGTGGCAGCACCCACCTCCTGTACCCTAGACACAGATTGGGGGCCGGCCCACACCCCAAGGAGGGCTGTGGGGGCTGTGCTAGAGTCCTCCTGGGGGTCGGGCCTCCAATCTGCCTGCTGGATGACAGGTGGCAGATGCTGCCTCCTGGGGCCAGTGGGAGCACTGATCTTCCCAGCACTGGGTCCAGGCTGCACCCAGCACTGGTCTGTTATCTGGCAAGCAGATTGGGGGCCTGCACCTCCAGGAGGAGTCCAGCACAGCTCCCGCAGTCCTCCTTGGGGTGCGGGTGAGCCCCCAATCTCCCTGCCTGCCGCATTTTATGATTCCCCATTATAACCTATGAGTGAAATGGTGAAACAGCATTGAAACATCAAAACAGTTTTGACAAAATGAAATGGAACAGTGGTTTCGAAATGAAACAAAATGAAACACTGTCCCGACAAAAAGTCAAAATGGAAATAGAAGCAAAACGGTGCTGTTTTGTACAGCCCTAATAAATATTACATTCTAATACTGTAGGGGAGATGCTGGGTGAAAGTGTGAGATAAATGCAGACAGGTTAGAATTATAAGTCTGCTGCATTACTGGGAATTTCAGATTTATCAGGAGTGGGCAGTGTTTGAAGGAAGCAATTGAATGGGGATGCATGAGGTAGGGTTGAGAAATAATGTGGAGAGGGGAGCAATGCCACGTCTTAACAGAAGGGTAGAGTGAATAGGGAAAATGGTTGGACAGAAGTCACAGGCTTGCCTAGGTGGGCCATTTCAGCAGGTGGTAGCTTTCCTCAAGGGCTGCAGTTCTGGATGAACTTGTCTATTGGGGTAACTATAGGCAGATCGTGGAGAGGAGTAAGGGGGTGTAGACACCCCATGTGCAGTGAGCTGTGGGCTTCCAGTGGGTCAGTGCAGGCTCCTACCAGAGCCCTGCCAGTGCAGGGAGATTGCCGAGCCTGGTTGGTGCAGGCTTTTGCTGGAGCCACTGCTTTCACATGGCTCCAAAGCCTGAAGGGTGAGAGCTGCTGCTGTTCATACACCCCTTTTCTCCTGCCTTCAAATTTGGCATGAGGCAGGGGATGGGGTTTGAACAGTGGAGGCTCTCACTCCCTGGGCCTTGAAGCCACATGAAAACAGTGGCCTTAGCAAGAGCCTACGCTGAGCAGCTGAGGAACTCAGATTGTTCCCTGATGCGGCAGACCTCTAGTAGGAGCCCACATTGACCAGCCAGTTCAGGGAGCTCATTGCACATGTGGAGCACAGGAAAAGGCAGGCTGCAATGACACCACCACACCCCCAGCCATGGATTCACCCATGGAGACAGCTTTTGCTCAGAGCAGAAACACTTGTCCTAACGTCTCTACTACATTGTGAGTGGGAAAAGATTTCTGAAGCATTTTAATTGTTTGTGTGCAAAAGATGATTGAGGTGGGCAGAGTGGATGGTAGAAGTAGGCGGTAAGAATGGGCAGGGATGGGTGAAGAGGGGAAAAAGACATTGCCACATGGGGTAGTGGTACAGGTCTGAGGAGGACCTGGCATGCATGATATGGAAGAGACTGAGTCATTTACAGGGAATAATTCTTACTTCCTTATACAGTAAATTGGGGTTTTTTTTTGCATTAAATCAGCTTTTATCACTGAATCAATCTTACACTTTTCTATTCTTGTTCTCCAGAAATGACCTTTTTTAGCTTTCCTCAGCTCTTTCCTGATGGGACTTATTAAGAACTGCTGCTGATTCTTGCAGGCATTCACTTTCACTTACCATCTTGGGATTTTTTGGACAACGTTTTGTTGAAATGTCCTTGCAGCTTTTTGCTGCTGTGCTTAATATCAGCTCTGCCTCCAGATTCATATGCCTTCATCAAACAAAGTCATCTTATGTGAACATAATTCTTCCCATCCCAGGCTCAGGAATGAGGGATGAATCTCAAAAGGTTTAGAGCTTCAGTTCAGAGGAGCACCCACAAAATCAGATGCATATTGAAGCCTTGTCTGAACTATCTGAATCTTGAAGAGTTGGTCTCGGTGCCTCCTAAAAGCAAGCTCTCTCTAGTCCTATCTGAATACTGAACATGAGGATTATAACATAAACAAAATAAGCACATCAAAATCACAGATTAACTAGACCAGGTCAAACTTTTCATCAGGGATAATATATTATCTGTCAATGTCAAGGAATAGTTCCTGCATGAGCATTTTATGGCTGACACACTGGTTGCAATTTCTGTTTTGTATTCATAGTTCTGTATTTATGCCCTGCAATTGGAAGCCAACTGTATGTCACCAGGGGCTGTTTCTGTTATCTGGTTGGCTTGAATAACCTCAGCTTTACCAAGAGGAAAAGTTCACAGATTTCTTCCTTGTGCCTACCTCATGAATTAATCATTTGTGTGGATACTTTCAGAGATATGTGTTCACCTAAGTATTTAGAGAGCTCTTTTTTCACAAATATTTCTTGTTTATGGGTAAAAATCCACCCAGACAAATAATAATGGATATAGGTACAGCAGACATTATGGTGTTCACCAATCCCTTGTGTCCATACACTTATTTCCCTTCAAGCTTACATAGCTGAATACCTGCAGGTTTTGGTGCTTAGTCACAGTTGAGATTCAGGAAAACTACATTTGCCCTGCATGGGACTTATGCTTAGTAAGCTACACTCTGGCTGTGTAACTGCCTGGGAGAATAAAATTGCCAAGGCATATATGAAATGTCAGAGAAGTCCAGAAACTTTAACTGCAACAAACCAGTGACTAGCAGGTGTTAGATGCTAGATGAGGAACCTCCTGTGTTTTAGCCCAATAGCCTCATGGTTAGGGCACTTGTCTGAGGAGCAGAAGATCTGCATTCTAGGTCCTTCTCACAAGTTTGAACCATGTCTCCTGTTTTACAGAAAAATGTTCCAGTCACCAGACCACAAGCCAGGTATTACCCAGAA